ATTTTCTGGACGAAGGGGGCCACTTGAGGTGGAAGGATTTTGAAAACAAGTGATAGAAACCCAGTTCCAAATGGCTTAATTCAAAAGAGGAAAGTTAAATGAATGCTGGAACTTTAAAGACCAGAGTGGCTTCAGGGATGGATGAATCCAGCCAGTCAACGTATTAGGAATCTAGTCTGTCCCTTAGCTGCTTCCTCTGGGACAGAACCCCTCCTGTGATGGCAAATGTGTCCTTTAGTTTATCAAGTCCAGCAAAAAGAGTAGACCTCATTCCAGTGAATGTGAGCAAAAATCCCCGGCCCCTTTCTCATAGGCCAGGCTCAGGCCATGAGCCTATCTGTGAACCAGTCAGTGTGGGCTAAGGGTAGAACGAATGATCTGATTGGTCAGACCCCAGGTGTGCAGTCTGGGAACTGAGCTACTGAGGTAGCTCTCCAGAGGAGAATCAGGAGCTCTTTCCAAAGATGGGAGAACCAGATGTGCTGAGTAACAAAAACAACAGCTGTCCAGGAAAGAGCCAAGGGGTCCACCTGCAGGAAGAAAGCAGAGAGCACAACTGCATCCATTTCCTGTGACAGAAAGGAGGCGGGGGCTGGGGACCTGGACATGCACCATGAGACTGCCACACAGTTTCAGGAGCTCGGGTGCCATCTTGTGTTTCATGGTTTCCATCGGTTTCCTGATGGGATTGGAGACCTGGCAGGAAGGGGGAGGAGCTCCCCAAGAGAGAGACAGTTGACCTAGCTAAGTTCTTGTGAGGAAACGCCGTGGGATGGAGGCTGAGGTCTGTCTGCTTTGCTAGCATGAGACTTTAATGTCTAAACCAGGCTCTTCCGACCTTGGCACTGTTGCTTACTGGACTGGGAAATCCTTGTGGCTAGGACTGTTCTTTGCATTGTGGGGTACTGAGCAATATCTCTGCTGTCTATCCAACAGAAGCCCCCCTGCCTAATTGTGACAAACAGAAATATCCCTAGGAGCTGGGTATGATGGCTTATACCTGTAAATGCTAACAACTCACAAGGTGGAGATTGGTTAGCAAGACCCTATCTCAACCAACAAACTGGGTGTGGTGATACATGTCTGTAAGCTACAAGGAAGACTTAGGTAGGAGGATCACAGTTGGGGGCCAACCCAGGCAAAAACAAGAGACCCTAGCTGAAAAGTAACTAAAAATGTCCCCTTCCCCTGAGATGGGAGGAGGGAGCAAAATTTCCCCTGGTTGAATACCACTAACCTAGGGGTTCATGGGTTTGTGGGGATAGTAAATACATCCGGAACCCGGACGGCTGGGATTGGCTGCCACCTAGAGAGGCTGTGTGGGGTGTGTTTTGCTGAGACTGCTGAGAACTCTCTTAACCAGGTTTGCCATTGATGAGATGCCAGAGAGAGATCCAGTCCAGGACCCCACCACCATGGCAGGGATGGCGGCAGCTTGTTCTGGCACACAGGGCTCTTCAATTTGGGCTCCCAGAATGCTTCCAGGGCATCTTGAGGAGCAGTTCTGTCTAGGACAGTTTCTCCAAAGGGCTGTACAAGGGCTGGGCCCCCTTAAGTTACAGCAACGTGCAGTTTTGAAACATCAAGGGAGAAGTACTTTGATTGATGTGTTGGATTTGTTTGGATTTAATTTAAAAATTTTTTTTTTGGCAGTACTGGACTTTGAACTCAGGTCTTCACACTTGCTAGGCAGGTGCTCTACCACTTGAGCCACTCTGTCAGCCCTTTTTGGCTCTGGTTATTTTGGAGCTAGGGTGTCACTTCATGCCTGGGCCAGCCTGGACCGTGATCCTTCTATTTTACCCTTCCACACACTGGGATGACCACATGCTACCAGGCCCAGCTTTTTCTGTTGAGAGGGGGGTCTCATGAACTTCTTGCCTGGGCTGGCCTCAAACCTCCGTCCTGCCAATCTCCACCTCCCAAGAAGTTAGGATGACAGGTATGAGCCACCATCACCAGTCCTTGAAATGTTAGGTTCTCAGTGGGTCAATTTAAAGGACCCGGTGAGTCACAAAGCTTAGGTGACTCTGGGGTACTCCAGGGACGAGACTGAAGGCCGACTGTCAGCATCCGGGAAGCATCATCACCCTGACGTTTGCCTGAGTGTATGCTGGGATTTTGTTTAAGGAGCCCCTCGTGTCAGATGTGTTCTGTTCCAAGCCTGCCTTGTCTCGTCTTAGGCCAAGGAGACCCCACGCCACCAGCCACCTCCTCTTGGGTAACATCAATGATTAATGCAGCCAATGGACTTGCAGCCAAGACAGGATCAGGACAGCTGGGAAGGAGCAGAGAGGTGGTCGATAACCGCATTTACTTATGAGAGCCCCAGGGACACCAGGCACTGCAGGAGGGCAGCTGGTTACAACCCCACTCGTGGGCTGAGTTGTGGCTGGAGGTCCAGCTTGAGATGACCAGGCACCAGCACCGAGCACAGCTTCCAGGGCTGCATCTTCTCAAAGGCCAGGCTCCCTTTCAGAAGCAAGGCACTGGTGACCTGGAGACACAGGACAGTCCCCACAACCAAGCCTCTCATTCCTTCAGGGTTTACTAATCACCTACCTCCTGCCTGGCACCGGGTACTAGTACTGGTGTCTTGGCCAGTGGTCCTTACCCCGGTGGTTTTGCCCCCACCAGGGACATTTAGCAGTGTCCAGAGACATCTCAGTTGGATGGTCCTACCTGGGGGAGGTGACATGCTACTGGCAGAGATACTGCTAATCAATCCACAATGTACAGGACAGGCCCCGGACAAAGAAGGATTGGCCTAAATACCAATCGAGCGATGACTGAGAAACCCTATTCCACTGGTGTCCCTGTCCTGTCACATCTTGCAGTGGACAAAGACAGGAAGGGAGGAGAGGAAGAAGCAAAGGGGGAAAGAAACAAAGAGGCCAAAACTGACAAACTCAATTACAGCTGAGAAAGAAGTGAGACAGGAGCTGCTGTGCAGAACAGAGGGGGTGACTTTGGCCAAGGTCTGCAGGGATGGCAGAGCCTGGGGGGGAGAGAGCAGAGAAAGCAGCTTTCCCAGCAAGATGGAGCTTGTCCAGTCTGAGGGAGCTGGACGGGAAGGGGAGGCTTGAGTTGAGCCCATCACCCAGGCTGCAACTGCTGTGTGTGGAGTCCAGCTTGCTTGGGGACCAGAAGAGAGTATGGGAGGGAGACCAGCAGGTGAGAGGATGAAGATGGGACAGGTGAGGGATCCAGGGTGGTCACTCCTTCTGGACACACGGTCATCTGTCAGCATTCCCAGGGATGCCCTATGGATTCAATAGGCTGGGTGGCTCTACTCCGTGATGCTTGGTCCCTTACATATTATGGCATAGTACTTGCTCATGCATGACCTATGCACATCTTCCTGTATTCTTTAAGTCTTTTCTGGGTTGCTTATTATACTTGATTCGATCTAAATGCTATGTAATACTTGTTCTTCTGTGTTGTTTAGGAAATAATGACATGCTGTCTCCAGGCAAAATTTCCCTCCCCTTCATATTCTCCATCCCAGGCCGGCCGACTCCCTGGGTACAGAAGTGCTGGCTGTTTGAAATTCTTTGACGCTTGAGGGGTTACTTGTAGGAGTTGGGTTGTGTGACCTGGGACAAGTGCCATGTCCTAGAGACACTGTCTTGTCACCTATAAAATGGAGGTCACAATAGTACCTGCCTCACAGGGCATTATGAGGACCGGCTCTGCCCAGTTTTTGGCCTAGAGCAAGCGGTCAGGAAATGTTAGCTGTTAGCATTCAGAGATTGAAAGAGCGGGGCGAGCGCCTTTTTCCCGGTCACTTATTTTTGAAGAGGTCAGGCGGGGCACCAAGTGTCAAATTTAAATACAAAGAGGTATGCAGAGAAGGTAAGTCTCCCTGCACCTGCTCCTCCAGCCACTAGTAGTGGTGGCACACTGGTGTTCTCTGCCCTGCCAAGGCAAGGGTTCAGATGGGAGGCGAAGTCCCTGTGAGGGGCCCTGGTGCCTGGAGAGGGCAGGAGCTTTTTCCTGGCATGTCTGAAGAAACCAGGTGGGCTAGCAGGCTTAAACGCAGTGGGTCTTCAAAAAGTCAGGAAATGGAGTCTTTTTTTTTTTCCTTTTTCTTTTATTATTCATATGTGCATACAAGGCTTGGGTCATTTCTCCCCCCTGCCCCCACCCCCTCCCTTACCACCCACTCCGCTCCCTCCCTCTCCCCCTGCTCAATACCCAACAGAAACTATTTTGCCCTTATTTCTAATTTTGTTGTAGAGAGAGTATAAGCAATAACAGGAAGGGACAGGGTTTTTGCTGGTTGAGATAAGGATAGCTATACAGGGAGTTGACTCACATTGATTTCCTGTGTGTGTGTGTTACCTTCTAGGTTAATTCTTTTTGATCTCACCTTTTCTCTAGTTCCTGGTCCCCTTCTCCTATAAGCCTCAGTTGCTTTTAAGGTATCTGCTTTAGTTTCTCTGCGTTGAGGGCAACAAATGCTAGCTAGTTTTTTAGGTGTCTTACCTATCCTCACCCCTTCCTTGTGTGCTCTCGCTTTTATCATGTGCTCAAAGTCCAATCCCCTTGTTGTGTTTGCCCTTGATCTAATGTCCACATATGAGGGAGAACATACGATTTTTAGTCTTTTGGGCCAGGCTAACCTCACTCAGAATGATGTTCTCCAATTCCATCCATTTACCAGCGAATGATAACATTTCGTTCTTCTTCATGGCTGCATAAAATTCCATTGTGTATAGATACCACATTTTCTTAATCCATTCGTCAGTGCTGGGGCATCTTGGCTGTTTACATAACTTGGCTATTGTGAATAGTGCCGCAATAAGCATGGGTGTGCAGGTGCCTCTGGAGTGACCTGTGTCACAGTCTTTTGGGTATATCCCCAAGAGTGGTATTGCCGGATCAGATGGTAGATCCATGTCTAGCTTTTTAAGTAGCCTCCACATTTTTAGGAAATGGAGTCTTAACAATGAACTGATCTTTCTCCCCAACCATCCCACCCTTCCCCTGTTTTGTAGAACATTCCTGGTGACAGAAAGAAAAATGAGAGCCCACCAGGTGCTCCCCTTGCTCCTCCTGCTCTTGGTGATCACCTCTGTGGCTTCTGAAAACGCCAGCACATCCCGGGGCTGTGGGCTGGACCTCCTCCCTCAGTACGTGTCCCTGTGCGACCTGGACGCCATCTGGGGCATCGTGGTGGAGGCAGTGGCCGGGGCTGGCGCCCTGATCACACTGCTCTTGATGCTCATCCTCCTGGTGCGCCTGCCCTTTATCAAGGACAAGGAGAAGAAGAGGCCTGTGTGCCTCCACTTCCTCTTCCTCCTGGGGACCCTGGGGCTCTTTGGGCTGACGTTCGCCTTCATCATCCGGATGGACGAGGCGATCTGCTCCGTCCGCCGCTTCCTCTGGGGTGTCCTCTTCGCGCTCTGCTTCTCCTGCCTGCTGAGTCAAGCGTGGCGCGTGCGCAGGCTGGTGCGCCAAGGCACGAGCCCGGCGGCCTGGCAGCTGGTGGGCTTGGCGCTGTGCCTGATGCTGGTGCAGGTGATCATCGCCACCGAGTGGCTGGTGCTGACCGTGCTGCGTGACACCAAGCCGGCCTGCGCCTACGAGCCTATGGACTTTGTGATGGCTCTCATTTACGACATGGTACTGCTAGCCATCACCCTGGCGCAGGCCCTCTTCACACTGTGTGGCAAGTTCAAGAGATGGAAGCTGAACGGGGTTTTCATCTTGATCACAACCTTCCTCTCGCTGCTCATCTGGGTGGCCTGGATGACCATGTATCTCTTCGGCAACATCATCTTGAAGCAAGGGGACGCCTGGAGTGACCCCACCTTGGCTATCACGCTGGCGGCCAGCGGCTGGGTCTTTGTCATCTTCCATGCCATCCCCGAAATCCACTGCACCCTCCTCCCACCCCTACAGGAAAACCCACCCAACTACTTCGACACGTCGCAGCCCAGGATGCGGGAGACGGCCTTCGAGGAGGACGTGCACCTGTCGAGGACATACATGGAGAACAAGGCCTTTTCCATGGATGAGCACAATGCAGGTAAAGTGGATGTCACCTGGCAGGGTGCGCCCTAGGGGTTGGTCGTCCCAAAGGGACTCTCTCCAACAGAGACAGGTGGGCCAGGTTCTGGGGACAGACCAGTGTCCACTACATTTCCACAGTTTGGAAATGGCTAATGAATTTTTATAAAAGTCCAGGTTTCTGGCTTCTCTTGCAAAGTCGGGGGATGGAGATGTAGCTCAGTGGTGGAGCACTTGCCTAGCACGCATGAGGTCCTGGGTGCCGTCCTCAGCACCAGTTTTAACAATGTTGGACTAAAATGCAGCTCACCTTGCTGCAACTGTCTGGATCTCATTTGAGCCAGTGTGCACTGGAAGGCCCAGCCTCTTACCCTTCACCAAGTTGTGACTGCCTTTAGATGGCAGTCCACATTCAGTGTGCCATACTCCGCACCACTACCTATTTCTCCGTGACCTGGCTGCTGTAATATTTTAATGTTGACTCCCTGGCTCCCCAGAAGTGTTTGCCAAAAGCCTGTGCACCAGGTAGGGTACAGAACACTGTGAAGCACAGTGCTCCTGGCCCCTCCACTATTTCAGTCACCAGAAGTGTCAGGATTTGGGCCCTGAATGCAGATGACATGTAGGTTCAAATCCAGCTCTCCTGGATTCCTGCTGTGTGATATTGGACAGATTCCATGACCTCTCTGAGCCGTAGATTTTCTCACCTGTGAAACAGAAATAACAGTGTACCTTCTAGAGCTCTCATGGGACCAAGCCTCTATGAGACCTGCATGGAGCATGTGTTTTGACTATATTTCCTGAAATAGGAGTCTGAGAGGAGAGCTTGGGGACAGCGCTTTACCTGGGAGGTGGTCTCTGTGAGAGTGAGATGCCACAAGGCCATCCGTGAGCTGCTGTCCGCATGGGCAACTGGCTCAGTCCCACTGGGGTTCCTCTGCAGACACACATAAAATGAGCCCCAGAATTGGTCCTGGAAGGACATGGGGCACCATCCAGCACTAACTCCCAACTCCCACTGTCGTCAGCATCCCCAGAAGTCAGGTGAATGGCTGAACAAGTTCCACTGAGTTCTAAAGCAGAAGGGCAGAGTAGGGGAGACTTGAGGTGACATTGTCTGGGTACCCAGGACTGTCCTGGGTGAGATCACAAAGGACCCTCCGTGGGGGAGGCAGTACCGATACCCCTGCTATTGAGGCTGGAGAAATGTCCCTTAAAATTGTCACTTGAAAGGAGTTGGCTAGATTCCCCTCTTAGTTACCTGAACGTTGTGCTTCAAGGACAACAGTCATAACAACTGTGGCATCGGAGTAGCAGTTGCTACCTGGATGGCCGTTGTTCCTTGAGCACCAACCCCGTGAGCTGCACCATCCTGTCTTCAGCCTGCATTACATCATTAGTCCCCAGCGGTCATGTGGTGAGCTTGGCGCCATTGTCATCCCCCTCTTCCAGCTGAGTGAATGAGTGGAGGCTCTAAGAAGTGCAGTGTCTCACCCAAGGGTCCTCTTTAGTAACATTCACCCAGATGCACGTGGACCACGTCCAGGAGCTGGTAGCACTTGTTGGGTTGAGCGCCTAGCCCGCCCATCCCCTTCAGTTGGGGGACAGCACATTGAGCCCTCAGTTGCTCCAGGGCCCCCCACATCCCTCCTTCCCATCTGGATGTCCCCAGCTCCCAGTCTCTGGTCAGACCCACGAGAGGGAACAGCAGCAGCTGCACCTGAGGGTAGGGCTGGAAGGCCCCTTGTGGCCTTTGTCCAAGCTCACCTCTTCAAACCAGCAACCCCTATTTGGCAGGATGGCAGCATCCACCCAGCTGGAGGGCTGTCCCATGGGAGGCCAGGAGCCCACAGGAGCCCACTGTGGTTAGAGAGGCAGGAGTCTGGCCAGTTCCTGGGGTTCTGGTGCAGCCACCTCTTCACCGACTCCTCCTAGAGAGGCCACCCTTTATCTGAGACCCCTGACTCCTCCTGGACCTCAAATAGTGGGAACCCAAGAAATAGATGTAAGCTTGTATACATCATATTTTCCAGGAGAAATGGTCCATGGCTGTCAGATTCTCAAAGCCACCAGTGACCCCAAAAGTTAAGAACCAGTGTTTTATGGCTTTATTTCCTTGCAGTAAAACTGGATGCGCCCAAGCAGTAAGGTCTTTAAAGTACAGAGAGCTGGCTGGGCGTGGGGCTGTTTTGGAGACGGAGAACTGAGGCACAGAGACAGAGCCAGGATGTGAACTTAGACAAGCTGGCTCCAGAGCCCACGTGCTTGGTCACTTTGCCACCTTCTTTCTAAAAGCCCTTTACTGTCCCTCATCTTGCTGACTGGCCAGGACAACTCCTCCTTTGGAAAGATGAGGGTCATCAGACCCAATTTTACCAAGTAGAAAACTAAGGTCTGACAACTTGTGCACACTCATGATGCAGGAACACAGCAGAGCAGGCAGGGGACACCTGGGTTTTCTGAATCCCACTATATTTACTCTTTCTTGTAAAAACTCAGCCAATAAATACTTCATGTCCACATAGGATCAGGGGTTCAAAAGGCTGGAACCCAGGTTGGTACCAAGTTTCCAGGGGTGATGGAGAGTTTGGGAAGTGCCACATACCCACATCTGTTTCACACTTTGACAAGGTCCAAAGTTAGATAACTTGTCATGTGTCCTTCTCTTTCTTTTCCAAAATGAAAATGCCTTTATTATCCATTTCCGATGGTGAAGAAGTGAAAAGAATCACGTAGAACTGCCAGGGTTTAATCAGGAAAAGTCAGAGGAGTTGCTAAAACCCCAGTGCCCAAAGGCTATCACTACTAAGGCTGTTCCCATCTTGCCAGACATACTCTCTTCCCCCTCCCTCTCACTCTTCCCTTCTCCCCCTCCTCTCTCTCTCTGTCTGTCTCACACGCACGAGCACATGCTCACCCACATGTCTCTCCCTATCTTTTTCCCTTCCTCATCCCTCACAGTGTCACACTTACACATACCCTTCCTCCCTCCCTTCATTTCTTTTTCCTCCCTCCCTCTCTCTTTTCCCTCCCTCCATCTCCTCTCCCTCCCTCCCTTCCCCCGCACACACACACGTGTACAGTCTCACACACACATGAAGACAGTGGTTCTTACCCTGGTGACACATTAGAATTATCTGCTTGCTTCAGAAAATGACCAGTGCCTGCCCCACTCATCTGATGAAGTCTGAGTTTGGATTAGGCATTTTTGAAGTTCTCCAGTGACTCTGAGATGTAACCAGGTTGAAACCACTGTTCCAAGTGGTACCCTGCCAAGTGCTTAGGCGTAATGGAGGCCTTTCCAAGGGCAGCACTGTGGGGCTTCAAATCCTCTGACTGTTGTGGTTTGCCATCAAGCACAGAATTTATTTGTGCCCTGCATCTGGTGAATAATCTGCCTTCCATAGTAGACGCCATCACAGTGAGCACTCTTTTTTTCTTTTTAATTTTTATCTTAATCATATGTGCATACAATGTTTGGGTCATTTCTGCCCCCTGCCCCCACCCCTCTCTTACCCCTCGCCACCTGGCAGAAACTATTTTGCCCTTATCTCTAATTTTGTTGAAGAGAGAGTATAAGCAATAATAGGAAGGACCAGGGGTTCTTGCTAGTTGAGGTAAGGATAGCTATACAGGGAGTTGACTCACATTGCTTTCCTGTACATGTGTGTTACCTTCTAAGTTAATTCTTGAACTAACCTTTTCTCTAGTTCCTGGTCCCCTTCTCCTATTGGCCACAGTTGCTTTAAAGTATCTGCTTTAGTTTCTCTGCGTTGAGGGCAACAAATGCTAACTAATTTTTTAGGTGTCTTACCTATCCTCACCCCTCCCTTGTGTGCTCTCGCTTTATCATGTGCTCAAAGTCCAATCCCCTTTTTGTGTTTGCCCTTGATCTAATGTCCGCATATGAGGGAGAACATATGATTTTTGGTCTTTTGGGCCAGGCTAACCTCACTCAGAATGATGTTCTCCAATTCCATCCATTTACCTGCAAATGATAACATTTCATTCTTCTTCATGGCTGCATAAAATTCCATTGTGTATACATACCACATTTTCTTGATCCATTCGTCAGTGGTGGGGCATCTTGGCTGTTTCCATAACTTGGCTATTGTGAATAGTGCTGCAATAAACATGGTGTGCAGGTGCCTCTGGAGTGACCTGTGTCACATTGTTTTGGGTATATCCCCAAGAGTGGTATTGCTGGATCATATGGTAGATCAATGTTTAGATTTTTAAGTAGCCTCCAAATTTTTTTTCCAGAGTGGTTGTACTAGTTTACAACAGTGAGCACTCTTATTTGTTCTTCCTGCCCCCACCCCAAAAGTCCTAGATATGAGCTAAAGTGTCTGTACTTTAATCTTAATATAAAATGCAGGTGGCACCCCAGAAAGGTGGGCTGATTTAGTGTGCCCCCACTTATAGCTGTGAGCCCCTTTTCCTCACCTCTTTAGCACCCTTGCGTAGTGTCACTTTTTTTTCTTAACTCTTTTAGGATCATCCCAAATGCCTAGCCACCAAAATTTACTTGCAGCTGGCAGAGTGGGCCTGGGACAAAGCCATTTTGCTCACAAGGCTCACACAGAGAAGCAAATCTGAAGGAAGACCTGGCTGGGCTGGCCTTTATTCTTGAAGCCCTTGATTTGCTGGCTGGGGACCATCTGGGATGTTCCCATTGCTCAAAAGGAGCAGCTGATGGCTGCTGACTTCCGCCAGTTTGTATTTTAGGAACCTGGGCCCATGAAGGGCCTTACCCTCAAACCTTTGGAGTTGAATTAGAAACTTCCAGCCAGCATCTTGGCCTCTTGTCCCTTGAGAGTCCACCCCTCATGTGGCAGGAGATGGGAAGGGGCACTCTCCAGGCTGGGCTGTGGTTCAGCCAAGCCCCAGCAGCCTCGCCCCCAAATGCTCTCTCTCCCTGCCCTTCCCAGTGGGTCCCAGGTATACCCAACTTCATCAGTCTGCTGCTTCTTAATAAGAATCCCCGAGGCATGAGGTATGCGAAAAAAGATTAAAATATACCCAGGGATGTAGCACCTCAGATCACATCTTAGAAAGCCTTTTTGAAGGAGCAAGAAGAAGAATGCATTCTTCCTTCTCTTAGGGGCCTTGGGGTCTAAGATCCCATTAGAGTCAAAGGCCAGTTAAACCCACCCTTTGCTTCCTGCCGGAAGACCCTGCCTTGACCCTGAGGACAGGGCTAATCTGGCCCCCTTGTAGAGTGTACACAAGAAAAGGTTGGCATGGACCTATGTACTTTGATTCTTCTGGGGAGCCCTTAAGGGTGATCACTGCTTGCTTTCAGATCTGGCCAAGTCTGGGTAGAGTGGTAATCATGCCTCTTGAAATTAGTTGCAAATAATAATAATAATAACAACAACAATAATAATAATAATAATAGATCCAATTTGAATAGGCCAAAGTACTAAAACAAAGAAGGGTTGGAGCCGTGGCTCAAGCGGTAGAGCAGCTGTCCAGCAAGCCTGAGGTCCTGAGTTGAAACCCCAGTACTGCCAAACAAAAGCAACAATTAGAAAAAAAACAAAACAAAAAAAAAAACAGGCTTCAGAAGGGTTAGACTCAGGAGATTCAGCTATGTCAACATTTAGTTTCTTTCTCTTAGCTGTTGGGTTCATGGTAGTCCACAGTTGGCTTGCACAGAGTCAGCAGAAAAGAGGAACGTCTCCCACAAGGCTTGAGCAAAAATCTGAGCTAGCTCTGATTGGACCTGAATGCTGTTGCCTCAGTGTGTGAATGGTGTTGTCTAAACCAATCGATGTGTTGTGGGGAAGAGGTGATGCCTTGATTGGCCAGGCCTAAGTCACATGCACACCTCTTAGGCCAAGAAGAATGCAGTTGTAGACACCCAGGGGTCTAGAATGTGGGAGGGATATTCACCAGAGGGGAATCTTCAGGCCAAGGCACCCCACGGGCAAGCGGAAGATTCAAGCCTTTTGGGCGATACTGGGGTTTGAACTCAGGGCCTTGCACTTGTTAGGCAGGTGCTCTACCACTTAAGCCATGAATGCAGCAAATTTGAGCCCTTTTGTCTGTGAGGAGAACGTGTTTGGAGTAGCGTCCCCCATCAGGGCTGAGCAGGCCTAGGCTGGGTATTGAGAGCCCCTGGGTGGACTATATGTGCCCCACTTCTGGCAGTCTCATGGCCGCCTCTGGTCCAGGCTTGGAGATGTCAAAACAAGAAACATTCTCCTGGAGAACATGCAGTGCCCATCCTGCCTCTGTTTCTTTGGTCCCTAAATCACTTAATTCATATTGCTTCAAAGTAACTAAATATGATGGTTAAAAATATAGTATCTAGAGCCAGTGATGGTTAAAGACACTGATATTCTGCTACTTACCAGCTGTGTAATCTTGGGCAAGTTACTTAACCTTTTTGTGCCCCCCAGGTAAAGTGGAAGCAATAAAAGTACTTACCATGCTATGAAAATTAAGTGAGCTGATACAAAGGGCTGTTCACAGCACCTGGCTCCCCAAGAAGGTTAACTCCTGTTCTAAGGTGATTCTGGGCCTTGCCCCAAGTAAGTTGTAAAATTCTCAAGCTGTTTTCTTTTGTGGTACTGGGATTTGAACTCAGGGTCTATACCTTGAGCTACTCCACCAGCCCTTTTTTGGTGATGGTTTTTTTGAGATAGGGTCTCACAAACTATTTGCCTGGGCTGGCTTGGCACCTCGACCCTCCTGATCTCTGCCTCCTGAGTAGCTAGGATTGCAGGTGTGAGCCCATCAGCACCCGGCTCCCAAGCATTTTAGCCAGAAAAGTATCTGTTCTCAGGGATAAAGTGAGTCTTCTCTTAGCAAAGCAAGATTAGTATTTTCAATGAGAACAATTACCTTACAGTTGAGAGGATTTTGTTTGATTATTATTGTTGTTGCTATTACATATGCATAATAATTTTATTTTTTCAGTGCTGGGGATGGAACCCAGGACCTCGAGCATGCCAGACAAGTACTGTACCACTGAGTCCTGCCCCCAGCCCTAAAGAGCACATTTTAACTAGAGTTTGCTCTGTGTTGCATGGTTCTGGGGGTTTTGACAAATGCATGGGACATGTATCCACATACCGTATCTTACAGAACAGTGTCACTGCCCTCAGTTCCCCACCCGAACCCGACACCACTCATCTTTTGCAGTCTCTCTAGTGGTGACTTTTCCAGAAGAAGATAGAGTTGGAATGAGACATTAGGAGCTTTTGCACACTGGCTTCTTTCACTTACGATATGCATTTTAAGGTTCCTCTGTCATTTGGAGTTGATTGGGTTTTCTTTGCCAAAAAGAAAAGGAAATTTAACTCCTTAAAAAGTATAGCAACTAAGAAATCTCTTGTACCCACCCTTCGGAGGCAGAGAGCTGACTTAGTGGCATTCTTGCTTCAGATCTCCCCTTTATTCCTGTTTAGGACAAGCCTGCATACGCGGGAGGGTCACTTTTCCATGGGGACAGGCCCTGTACTCAATGTCCCTGTGCTCAGCTGTCCCCACCGACCGCCTTTGAATGCGTGGTGCTGACATGTACATGAGTGGCGTCTGTGGTGAGGCGACGGGCTCTTTTGTGAAAGGGGACCTGAGGGCTATGGAGGCGCCTGTCACTGTGGCCTGCAGGGGCTGTGTGAGGGAGGATCAAGGTTTAACCCTGGCCACCTTCCTGCTAGCTCGCTCTCAGCCTGCACCCTGGACTCCACAAACTTCCCAGCCCCACTGAGTGGGGTCAGGCTGCTGGAGAGCCCAAGAACAAAGCCCCTTTGTGACTTTTGTTTTGAATCAGGCTGGTGACAAAGGGGAGGAGCCAGTGCAGCAGGCGGGTGGGGGAGCCAAGTGTGTTATTGATGCTGGGGAAGAAAACAAAATTGTGTCTCTTTTTTTGGTGTGGTCCTACTGCCAATCCCTCCCTCCCTTCTCAGCTCTCCGAACAGCAGGATTTTCCAACGGCAGCCTGGGAAAAAGGTCCAGCGGCAGTGTGGGGAAAAAACCCAGCAGCAACTTGGGGAACCGACCCAGCGCCCCATTCAGAAGCAACGTTTATCAGCCGACTGAGATGGCTGTTGTGCTCAATGGAGGGACCGTAAGTATCAAGATGTGATGTTTGGGCAGGAAGTGTCAGGGCCCCAGCCTGTGGGGGATAGTGGGTGGCTTCAGCTGGGCAGCTTCTGGGGGCTGCAGACAGCAGCTCAGGTCAGTGACCTTGGAGCTACCTGCATGCAGTGCTTCCCTCTCCCCCCTCTCCACACACAGAAAATCCACCCGCACCCAGTCCCTCTTTCTTGGGGCTCCTTACTCAGTGACTTCTGTGGTTGTCAATACAACACCCTGGCCCCCTGCCAGATTTTCCTGACATCCACTGTAGCTGTAAGTCTCCCATCCCTAGTTCTTATCCTGGCGCCCCAACTGGGTACCAGGTCTGCCCATCTCAGCTCCCTAAGACATCTTAAGAAGTTGAAGGGGTGACTCTCTTCCCCCTCAAAACACAAGGACAGGCCTCCTGTCTGATGCCAAACAGACCACCAGCAGAATCGTCATCCTCTCCGTTTGCCTCCGTTGGAATGACATTATTCTGTTTCTTCAGCAGCCCAAAGACGCTCTCTCATTGCCACTTTTATTTTCCAAATATACTGCACGCTTTTTCCGTAACAAAGCATGAGCCGGTTTACTTGTGTAAATTGGATTTCCATTCTTTACTTCCCATGCCAACATCATAACTCAACCTGAGTTGTATTTTGTTTTTTTGTTTTGTTTTACTGGAAGTCAGGGATGGTGTGATCTCTGGAGGGAGCTTTGGTTTTTCCAGCCTTTGCGTGGTCTGCTAGGCCGTGGTTCACTTTGGTTTGGAACGGTACAAACAGAATCACAGATTTGCATTGTTAAAACCCCCTGCCATCCACTGGGCTGTTTATTGTTCTGTGCCAAGAAAAACCTGACTCCAGAGCACTGGCCTGTGTTATAATAAATATAGCTAGGAAAAGCCCTGCTTTTCACCATTAAGCCCTCCTTGTTCCTTCAAGGCCAATGTGATTTTAAAAAAAAGGAATGAGAAGCTGGGGGTGTGGCTCAGTGGTAGAGCAATTGGGTCTCATGCCAGGCCCTGGGTTTGATCCTCAGCATTGAAAAAAGGGGAAAAAAGTGAATGAGTTTCTTCTGGGTAGGGAAGCATACCTCTTCGGGGTGGGTGACCCTAGGCTCAAGACGTGACCCATGGCAGCAGAGCAGCCACTTTCCTGGGGAACTGTTGAGCCCACCTCCAGCAAAGGTGTGTTGTGAACGACTCCATTTCTGATGCTGACTTGGCGAAGCACAGAGTTCTCACTCGGTGTGTTATCCTTATGTGTCTGTCATTCCAGATCCCAACCGCTCCGCCAACTCACACTGGAAGACACCTTTGGTGACAGACTTTAAGTTCCAGAGAATAAGAATTTCTCTTACCGATTTTCTTCCCTGGCCGTATCTTTCTTGAGGGAGAGATCAGTAATAGTAGCCGAACCACAGGCCGCCTCGCAGCCAAGGAGATGTGGAAATCCCGGGCAAGGGGATTTCGTGTAAATGTGAACCTGGATGGACTGAAAAGCTAACACTGACTTCCCTCCCCTTCTCCACCACACACACACACACACACACACACACACACGCACACACACACCCCAACCTCGGCCCCACACTAAAGCAGAGTTCATTGCAAATAGTTTTAGGCTCACTCGAATGTGGCTGGAAGACTGTCTCATCCTCGGGGTAGAACAGAACCGAATTCACAGCTGCTGGGCCAGGCAGATGTTGGTTGAATATGGTGGGGACAGGGGACCTAATACCCACTCCAGGAAGTGCTGGGCCCTAGGGAGATGAGGACTCACCTCCCTGGCTTGCCTGAGGCTCGCACATTGCAGGGGAGTTCAGGTGGTTGGTGTTATTCCAAGGTAGGCCCAAAAGAATGATGGGGGGAGCTTCACAGCCAGTAGCGGTGGAAGGACCCTGGCAAGAGCCAAAGAAGAGGCGGCTCTCTGGGCCTTGAAGCGACTATGGCAGTTAGGAAGTGCTGACTAACCACCGTTCCTTCTGTGGGCCTTTGCTGTAGCACCTATGGCAAGAAAGCGAGTCACGCCCCTTCCCTGCAAGCCACACTCTCTCCCCATGCAACACGGGCATCGCCTTCTCCCCGAATCATCTCTTCCTGCACTTTCCTCCAAGCGCTTTCCCAATTGTGTTCCTATGTTCATTTCAAAAACTCAAATGAGGCGACCAGCTTGAAGCTCCTTGGGAAGGCAGGCGCTGTGGCGGCCTTTCTACAATGATGTCCCATGGCGGGTGGCCTTTAGGATGGAGAGGTAGTGTTCTGCTGCCCAGCAAACGGACTTGCTTGCTTTGCTGTTGATCTGGGTAAAGTTCCCAGGGAACAGTGACATGAAGGTTCTGTGTTGCTTTTGGAGGGTGTGGGGGAACGTCAGTATCTTGGTTTTCTGCCAGTTCCATAATAATGGCTTCTCCAAAGCACATTGTTTCTGTCATGGCGTCCATCTGTCCTGAGCAAGCCATTTCTTTGTTATTTGGCATTTCGAACATCCCGGCCATTAAAAGCCCCATGTTTTTTCTGCACTGTTTGGCCAGCACAGTCGCTCGCACCTATTCTAGGCAGAGTTTTAACCTGATGGTGTGGAATGTATAAACGAGGGAGGGGCTTTGTGCGCATATGCTAATCGCTACACTGCTTTTCTATACAACTACCCATAAGCCTTTAACCTTTAAAGAAACACAAAAGGTTAGTGTTTGTGGTGGGGGGGCTGACTTCTTCATAAGCCAGTACGTCTGAGCTGAGTATGTTTTAATAAACCTGATTTTTCTTGAGGCCCTAGTCTCTGCTGTGTTCCCACTTCACTCTCCAATCCTGTCCTTGCAGAGTTCTGGGGAGATACGGCCAGTCTGGCCAGCCTGGTGGCCCTCCCGTGGGTTTTCCTTTTAGCTAGTGCACTCCCATGCATGGCACCCCTTCCTGACCCCGAGAGCATGTGCTTGCTTCTAGAGACCCCTGACTGCCCCGGGACCACCATCTGGTGGGCCGAGACCTTGGAATCTTGGGGAGGGAGGGGATGGGGGGCGGGGCATGCAGACCCCGCATTCTGCCTGGAAGTCTCTGAGCACCTCGGGCCAGTCCAGTGGCAATCGACAGTGTTGTACATTCTCGTGCCAGGAGATGGTTACTCACCCCCGCTCTCTGGAGTCCTTTGGAGCTTTCTGATCCCGTCAGTGACTCAGTCGGCCAGAGCCCCCCTTTGCAGAAGGGAGGAGTTCACACTATCAGTCGTTTTCTCTAAGTTCTTTCTTGTCCACGCATATAAGGTGAGCACCGTGCAAATAGCTACCTGCACGTGGAAAGTAGCATTCTGCACCAGAAAAACACAACCATCTCGGAGCCATGGAAACTTACTGAGATCTTTGGGTTTTTGGTTTTTTTCCTTTAAAAATCTCTTGATTATTGCGCTTCTGGGTTTTGTTTTATTTTGGCTTTAAGGTCTAGGGTGGGGTGAATGCTCCCAGGATGGGGTGGAGGTGGGAATGAGGGGACAGGTTGAAGATCTGCTATTTTCTAATGAGTTTAAGTTCACCTGAGGAGTACCACAGACTGGCAACCAACTTCCCACTTGGAACAAGGCTGAAATACAGAAGTAAATGTCACCACTGTTGTAAGATCTGTTGGTGTGAACAAGCCTTGTTTGGGGAAAAGACCAGAAGGACAGGTCTGTGAATAGTCCCGAGTTGTAAGCACAAATATTAACACGTCTAGTTAGTACCATCACTGTGGGACTATAACAGCCACTTTTGTGCCCTCTTTAAGACAAGCTCGTTCTACCCTGGGGTTTTCCACTGGAGATGTGGAGGGCAAGGAAATGAGCTCTGAGAACTTCAAACTGGAAAGTTCTGTGCAACCCCCAGGGTTTCCAGGATTAAGATCTGGTTTTTGCAAGCTGGATGTCCAGAGCTGTTTTTTTTTTTTTTTTTTTTTTTTTTTTTTTAGCACAGATGTGGTCATGGTCAGGGTCATCGAACAAGTGCAGTCTGGGAGTGGTCTTTTCTAGGTTGGCCAAGGCTGAGTGAAGGCCTCAGGCTGAATGCTAAACTGAAAGGGGGTATATTGTGGCTTTTATAATCCAAGGATGCAATGATTATACCAGCTTAGGGGAGTTCTCAGCAGGTGCTTTTTATTAATTGATAAAGAGCTCAAGCTCGTTTTTGATAGATAATATATATTTATTAAATGTATTAATGTGTGTTTTATAATGTACTTTTATTTTCCCCTGGCTGACTTGCATACTTATTAAAAAAAAATCTCCATGAAATTCTAAGACAATCAATATGTCCATACATGACTGTATGTAAATATTACAGATTTAAAAGGTTGGTAAGCATGAGCAGATAGGTTTTATTTTCAAAATGCTGTTCTTAACACAAAAATAAATGCTTTACTATGTACTTCAGATGCGTGGTAGCTTGTGGAAGCACCCCAGTGCTTGAGTCTGGGGCATTTTAAAGGGAAAATCCTGGTTAACAGCAAACCACACACAAATGAGGGCAATAATTTAATTTACCCATAAAAGCAGGAAGTGTCTATAATAGTTTGGGGCCTAGACAATGAAAATCCTTTGTAATTTTTGTCTGGATTTAAATGTCTCATCTTGGGCTGGGAGTGTAGCTCAGTGGTAGAGCACACACCCAGGATACATGAAGCCACAAGTTCCATCCCCAGCACTGCAAAAAAAAATCTGAGACTTAAAATATGAATCTTCTCAAAAGTAAGAAAACTGGTAAGCAACACCTCCTCTCCTGGAGCTAGACTTCACTGTGCATGTTAATAGCAGTTGGCATGATGGGACTATCTTGATGGAAGAATAACATCTGGCGACAGTTCAGAAAGTTAAGATGGCACTTTTCAAAGCTTATTTGCACTCAGGCATGTTTGCCACAAATACTATCTTATGCGGGAAAGATTGTTTTTACTGTACCAAGTCTTGTGAAGGAAATCACAAGAGAGAAAGTCCAATTTGGACATTTTCCTTGCCTGATGCTTAAGGAGATGGAATTGCAGCCACAGGTGCCTCTGGGTCCTCCATTTTGCCTTTCACTGCAAAGAGATGAAAGAGAAAGTCAGGATGGACTTTCACACCTAGACAGACTTGGCTTCTGGAAACTGGAAACCTTGAGGTGAGGTCAAGGTCAATTGCAGCCAAACCAACCAGGCATTTGTCATGGTTCTGACCAAGCACACCCATCAGGAGGAACACTGGGCCTTTGTTTCCCAAGGGCTGTGCCTGAAGGTTCAAAGCCATTTCCAGCCCTGGTCTTTCTTAATTCAATTCAGAAAAAGGTGGAAAGTGCACTTTGCACATCAAGGTACTAAAGGAAGTTTTACTAAAGATATGACAGACTCTCCACCCACCCACAATGAAAGACAGCATCACTAAGGGTCACGGTCAAAGTCAGAAGAGAGATCCTGGTGATTTCCCAAGGCTGCCAAGCAGGAAAGTTAGCTGGACACTGAGCATGGCACTATCTCTAAGGAAAATGTATCCCAAAAGATAAGAGCCCCTCCCTAAATAAATATGGAAACCCTGCCCTTGAGGGGTGGGGGAGATCCTTGGAAAGACCACACCCCCATTTTGTTTGTGTGGTACTGGAGTTTGAACTCAGGGCTTTGTGCTTGCTAGGCGAGTGCTTTATCACTTGAGCCACGCCGCCAGCCGCTTTTTTGTTTTTTATTTGATACAGGGATTGAACCTATGAGCTCAAGCATGCTAGGTAAGCACTCTACCACTAAATGACAACCCCAGCCCAAAGACCTTCAGTTTTTTATGTTTTTACCTCTAGTGGCCATTCAGGCCTGAAAGGTCTCAGCGGGGTCACAGGCTTGAATAGTTTGTGGAAGGGTGTCTGGGATTATTACCACGTGGTGCCTACCAAAGCCACTTAGGGCATCCAGAGGCCAGACCTTGGCACATAGGTGAGGTCTGCACCTTGTACAGGCTGTCGGGTTGCTTCTTGGTGGAAGTGAGGTGACTGCTTTCAGTGGCTCTGCTCAGCCCTTCAGGCTTCCCAGGGAGGCACATAAAGATGGGGTTCGTGATCATTCCAACTTCCCAGCATGGACTTGCCACTGAGGGTTCCTACCCATCCTCCTTTCCACCTGTCCCCATTATATCCTGAAATGGCACAGCTCCCATGGGGCTGAAAAGATGATGCTCTGAAATGCGGAGGGCCCTCCAAGCTGCCTTCACTTGCTGTGTGCAATCATGTCGAAATGTACCCCATGGTTAGTTTGTGTGCTACTGATTAACTGAACAGGTTGAACTTAATGTGAAAATACAAAGCCCGACATGCACCAAAACCCACAACGCTGAGCGCCAATGTGACGCCACAGTGGAAAATTCTACACCATGAAACTTAAATGTACAAGATGAGTAAAATATTGTCTCATATGGCTTCCAGGTTATGTGTGTAGTGTGTGGACCTAAGTCCCATCCCCACCATCTCACTACACAAGTTCCAGGATTCCAAAATCCAAAATGTGAAGATCCTTTTGCCTAGGGGATACTCAACCTGTATTAACTCACACAGAAAAATTCTTTACATACCTGGAACCCTATCATCCCATGAATTGAAATTTTTTCAATGTCTACTGTGTGTTTTTTCATTTTTTGTCCCATATATCTGGAAGCTCTGTGGGCAACTATGCTTCAGCCCTACACACATCTAACCTCACTGATGGTGACATTGACCTTTCATGGCCAAGGTTACTCTGCACCTGGCTAAGTGCTCTCCTAGTAACCTGGCCCTGATCCGTGATGGGCTGGGTTGGGCCCATCATGCCCCACTGGAAGTGAGGGACTGTTCGTGACTTGTGGCATCTGCATTGCCACAGCTAACCGCTCAGGGTAGCTTGAATACACGACAGACTTGGGAAGAGGTACAACAGGGCAGAGCTGGGCTGCTCTGGATCCTTCTGGGAGACACATTGGTGAGCTTGGATTTCACACCTGCGGGTGGTTCTCCAGAGTAGTTGGGGGACTCAGGGAAACAGACTTCACACTCAAGGCCCCATTTGTCACGTGAAAATCAGAACTTAGGGTGAACCCCAGCAGTCTGCATTCCATAAGCCCTCCAGGGGATTCAGATGGACACCACTTAAAAGTTTAGGATCCACTGACTAGGGTTCTCTTCCCTGGCTGCATAAGAACCATGCTCAGCTTCTGAAACTTATAGGTGCCCGGGTCTTACCCCAGAAATTCCGCTGTCATTTGGCCCGGGGCCCTCAGGGCAAAGTTCTTGGGTGTCACTCAAATTCAGCTAGGATCAAGAAAGAAACTGAGGTTGGAATTCCTTTAAAGAACGTGACTGTCAGACCCTTGAAGGAGTCTGGAATTCTTCCCAGCCTCACATCCTGCTGGCCACCTGGGAATTTCACAATTTAAACTGTTTTAAAGCCAGTCTCTCAGCCTACAACTGGAGGCTGGTAGAGGGTGGAGGGGAGGACTGGTTTAGGAGGAGTTCCCAGTCCTCAGGGGTTTTTCATCTGTGCCTGAAGTGCCTTTTCGGCAGGATTTTAACCAATTCCTGCCCATTCCTACACACTTCCCTTGCCCACCCCATACACAATAGGCTTTATCTCTTCCAGAACAACACACACAAATCTTGGAGGAGAGCGACTGAGCTAGGGACACCCCTTCTAAGTGGGGAGCTGAGAAACAGTGTCTAACATTCCAAGGCTGGAAAGAGAGGTGGGGAATGCGTGGCAGGGGAACGACTGTGGGGCTGGGAGCGGTCCCCATGCACAGGCCCCTCGCACAGTGACAGCAGAGTCCCTGGAGGGGACAGCCACATCAGAAGGCCCTGCACAGGTACTAGGACATGGGAATTAGGATGCTCCCAGCACCGCAGCAGAAAACAGAACCCTCATGTCCGTCAATAGGCCACCGGATAAACAAATTGAGGTCCCCTTGAGCAGGGGTTCTGCAGCAATGGACATGAAAATCACAGCCCCACGCCCCAACTCGGATTAGCTCAACAGCATTGGACAAAGGTGGGTACATAATGACACACACAAAGTGTGTCACAGCAAATCTAAATGTTGAAGGCTGGGAACCAAAGTGAAAAGAACTCTAAGGAAAAGAAGAGGAAAGGCATTATCCCAAGAAGCCAGGTAAGTGGCTACACAGTGGAGGGGACAAGCTTTATGAGTGTTGACAGTGAGCTGGGCATGGTGGTACCTGCCTGTAATCCCAGCACTCAGCAGGCAGAGGCAGGAGGACCACGAGTTCCAGGCTAGTTAAGACTCCACAACTGTCTCAGAAAACAAAAGCAATGACTGTTCCATTGGATGGGTGGCGGCTACGTGGATGTTTGCTGTGTAGTTTCTGTTTTAGAGTTATGTCTGTATGTCTATGTCACCTCTCCACAAGGTAACAAAGATGCTGGTGTACTACTTGAAATTAAAAACTAACAATAAAGGAATGGATGAGAGTACCCTAAGTGCCTGGGGAGATGGACGGGATGGAAGTGTTAGGGGGGACATAGGGCAGACATGTTAGGACCGGACCTCCCTCCCCTCCTCCTCACAGGGGGCTTATGCAAAGTCTCCACCCACCCTAAAGAATGACAAATACCCACCTCCAGCCATTTATAGAAACGCCCCACCTGGCCTCGAAGGATGAGCCGCCCTTAAGCCATTATCACTGACAGGATTTTCCTGTCAGTGACCTTCCTGGGGCTTCTCCCACTAATGTCCTATCACCCCAGTCTGGGTGGCTATAGGCTCCAGCTCTTCTGCCGGGGACCCCTTCTGCAGGTTTCTGCTCCCCAGTAATGCCTGTGCTGATGTACTGAGCCAGCTCCCCATGCATTTCAGTCCAACTGTAAGTGAGCTAATCTGTTCTGGCAGGAATAAGAGACAATGTCTCAAATCTTATCTACAGTATAGGCCTGTTTGGAACACAGATAATTAGCAACTTGCCAAAAGTCACAGAGCTAAATAAACTGCTAAGAGTCCCAAGTGGTCTCTGGGGCTGCAGGAGGGCAATGGGGGCTGAGGGTGCTCACTGCAGCCTTTGCTCGATTCTATAGCAGCCTTTGCTCTATCCTATATCTTTTAGACTATGTGCAGGGACTACTTCCCTGAACACTAAACAGAATGGCTGGACACAGTATCACTCCTGTAGTCCCAGCTGTTTGGGAGGCTGAGATGGGAGGATCCTTGAGTCCAGGAATTTGAGGCCAGCCTGAGCAGCATAGCAAGATCCCATCTCAAAAAAAGAAAGGAAAGGAAGATCTCTGCTCCAGGGTCTTCTTCCTTCTGACCCAGGCAGAACACAGCCTTGCACAGTGGGGAGAGAAGAATCCAGCAGGTGGCTGAAAGAAACCAGTTTCCACCTTGGTTCACAGACATCATCGTGGTTGGCTCCCAACCCCCACAGACAGATGCCTCGTGCCCCTGTACCGTCCTTGTCCCCCTTGGCAGGTTGGTGGCCAGCCAGCTCCGGAAGGGCTGGGAGAGTGGAAAATACCGGAGTGATGCGCCAGGCCTGCAGCCTCCACCAACGGCAATGTGACAGGAAGGCCCTTGCATGCTAATGAGCTCTCGGACATCTCGGCAGCATCCTCTCCTGCTGTGGGTTGAGACAAACCTCCACGCAGAGGCACGAGATAGAGAGAGAAGAGGCCTAACGCTCAGAATCTGGGGACCACAGGTTGTCGGGCCACTCACACAGCGTTGGCCAGACAGGACCTCACATAATGAGTCATTGGGGACAAATGCACAGACTCCCCGGCCTTCCCCAGACCTGCAGAGTCCATCTCTGGGAGCAAGGCCTGGGAGTCAGCACAGCCACACCATAGTGCTCTGCAGAGTTCCTTTTGGTCTGGCAAGTTTGGGGAAGATGTACCAGACCAGGGCCTGGAGCTTACTAAGCAAGTGCTCTACCACGAGCTAACAACCCCAGTCTTCTTTTTTATTTTGATAAGGTCTTGCATTTTATTGCCTGGAGCTATCCTTGGATTATGATCCTCCTACCTGTGCCTCCCATGTAGCTGGGATTATAGACATGACCCACCATGTCCCACCAGAGCAAATGA